ATATAATAAACATACAGTGTTTATAAATAATATATATTTACTCTATATTTGATGTGTACCTTCACAAAATTTGAATACATCTTTGTTGCGGGATAGAATATACGCGGCGGTAGAGTTTGGAATTTTACGTCCGAGCATTGTATGAATATTCAACACACAAACAGGAAAGAAAAATAACACCATGATTTTTACGTGGAAAACCCGAAAGAGGGAAAAAACCATGGGGCCACGTCCAGTTGAAATAATTCCACTAGTGTTTGCTTGAAGTACATATCCAGAAGTCCGAAAATAATCTTATATCCAGAATCCACATATAATAATCTCTCTCAATATAGAGGCTTGATGTTAATTGACTCTAGTAAGTCTTAACCAAACAAAAGGAAAAATAAAATCTGTGAAAATTTTATGAATAAATATTATTAAAATTTATAAATAGATTTTGAAATTAGTTTCATGTATAAATAATTAATATTATATAATTTCTGACTAAAGTTTTTTTCAATATGAACGTCTAATAAGTTAGGTTCTTTTTTTCAACAAAAATAAATAAATAAATATAAAATAAAATGTTTTGCTGGAATTGGACTATTACCCAATTATAGATACATGTCCTTTTATTTTAATTTGAAGCAGATACATTTTTTTTAACAATTAAAATTTTCCATATAGAAAAGAAATTAATTATAGATTAGGCTCAAAAGATGGAACTTTTATTTGGTCCGGCCACAGTACGTAGCTCTACGTTCGGCCGCCAGTAGAATCGCGCCATGCATTTTCATTATTTATCGCGTGCCCCGACAACCTGACCCGGAACGGACCCAGGATTGCTCAGTATTTCTCGATTTTGCTCGATATTGCTCGGTATTGTTAGGTATTGGTCGATTTTGCTCGGCAATAACCAATACCGAGCAATACCGAGCAAATACCGAGTAATGCCGAGAAATGCCGAGTTGTACCGAGTTTTTCTAGAAAAACTCGGTACAACTCGGTATTGCTCGGTATTACTCTGTATTGGTCTTCACAGAGCAGTATTTCTCGTTATTGCCAAGCAATACCTAGCAATACCGAGCAAATACTTAGTTGTACCGAGTTTTTACCTAGTAATACGCGAACATAGCATTCCCGGTTCCGGACCGGGTCAAGTCGTCGGGCTGCGCGGTAAATAGTAAGAGCACGTGGCGACATGTTATTGACGGCCGAACTTAGCTCTACGTCTGGTCGGAGGACATAATAATTGTTCCAAAAGATGACAAATAAAATACAAAGTGAGAGAATCAACCACGAGATTATCATAACTGAAAATTTTAATAATATGAAAAATTTATTAATATTTCTAACAAAATTATTTGGAGAGAGTAGCATTATTGAAGGATATAATCTGTATGTTGGAAATAATAGTTGTAATTGAAATTAGTAATATTTTATTTTATAAAGAGCATTTTATGTAATTTTACTGAAATTTTCTATCATATTTTCCCAAAAAAAAAAATTTCTATCATTCTTATGTTCTAAACGAGTGATTGATCAATGATGGAATATTTTTATTATGGGCCCATATAAATATTAAATTATATATTATGTGCTATCTTATTTTTTAAGCCTATTAAATTGTGATAAAATCAAAGATTATTTATTATTTGGCTTTTAAAACATCTCATTAGTTTTGTATGAAATTTATTATGTGTAGAGATCATGCATTATATTTATTTTTATGATGGATTAAAATAATTTAAATGCGCTCAAATATAAATAGGGTAGAATCTCCGATTGTACCTATCTAATCTTTGGTTCTTATTTGTGAGTCCCATTTTGAGTAAAAAGAAAATCTTGCTCTCTCTCAACAACTCTTTAGACATAGAAGGCCAAAAACTCCAAATTATGTGATTCAATGGATTCAGCAAGCTTCCGACTACACAGGGGCGGATCCAGCTTCTTTTTTTAGGGTGGGCAAAAAAAAAATTTTGTATGGGATGGGCAAAAATGATTAGAATTGATAAAATTATGGCAAAAAAATTTTTTGAGAGGGGGCAAAATGCCCAAAATATTTCAAAAAATACCCTTTAAAATTAAAAAAAAAAAAGAAGAAATTTGAGGGTGGGCATTTGCCCCCCCTCACTTATATGGGGATCCGCCCATGCGACTACATCTTCTTACTTGATGATTTGAAATGAGATATTTGATTAATAAATAATTATTTCCAGATAATTTTTTCATCTTTAATTAGCGTTCCAACAATCGCTTCTAATTTATTTTCATATAATAGTTTTTTCTTTCTAGTGGTGTCAAAATCAGGATGCGGGATGAGTTAAGGCTGAACCCGAAATTGACCTGGCACTATTTGACAAGACCCGAGTCCGACCAATTTTTACAAACGGGTCATAAAATTCAACCCGGACCTAACCCATCGGGTTTTCGAGCTGATCACCCGACCCGATACAAAACCCGATTTGGCATAACAAGCGCGCAAATGGGAGGAACGCCAGAATAGGCGGGCTAACATCGGAATAGGTGGTCGACGAACATGTAGACCCGTTGTCTCATTGAAGCTGCAGGACATGAAGCCAGAGTAATACCGAGCAATACCGAGTTGTACCGAGTTTTTCTAGAAAAACTCGGTACAACTCGGTATTGCTCGGTATTACTCTGTATTGGTCTTCACAGAGCGGTATTTCTCGTTATTGCCAAGCAATACCTAGCAATACCGAGCAAATACTGAGTTGTACCGAGTTTTTACCTAGTAATACGCGAACATAGCATTCCCGGTTCCGGACCGGGTCAAGTCGTCGGGCTGCGCGGTAAATAGTAAGAGCACGTGGCGACATGTTATTGACGGCCGAACTTAGCTCTACGTCCGATCGGAGGACATAATAATTGTTCCAAAAGATGACAAATAAAATACAAAGTGAGAGAATCAACCACGAGATTATCATAACTGAAAATTTTAATAATATGAAAAATTTATTAATATTTCTAACAAAATTATTTGGAGAGAGTAGCATTATTGAAGGATATAATATGTATGTTGGAAATAATAGTTGTAATTGAAATTAGTAATATTTTATTTTATAAAGAGCATTTTATGTAATTTTACTGAAAATTTCTATCATTCTTATGTTCTAAACGAGTGATTGATCAATGATAGAATATTTTTATTATGGGCCCATATAAATATTAAATTATATATTATGTGCTATCTTATTTTTTAAGCTTATTAAATTGTGATCAAATCAAAGATTATTTATTATTTGGCTTTTAAAACATCTCATTAATTTTGTATGAAATTTATTATGTGTAGAGATCATGCATTATATTTAATTTTATGATGGATTAAAATAATTTAAATGCACTCAAGTATAAATAAGGTCATGGTCTCCATCTAAGGTTTGGTTCTTAATTGCTCACATCCCATTTTGAGTAAAAAGAAATCTTGCTCTCTCTCAACAACTCTTTAGACATAGAAGGCCAAAAACTCCAATTGTGTGATTCAATGGATTCAGCCAAGCTTCTGACTACATCTTCGTAATTGATCATTTGAAATGAGATGTTCGATATATAAATAATTATTTCCAGATAATTTTTCCATCTTTAATTAGCGTTCCAACAATTACTTCTAATTTATTTTCATATAATAGTTTTTCTTTCTAGTGGTGTCAAAATCGGGATGCGGGACGAGTTCAAGTTGAACCCGAAATTGACCCGACACTATTTGACAAGACCCGAGTCCGACCAATTTTTACAAACGGGTCATAAAATTGAACCCGGACATAACCCATCGGGTTTCCGAGCTGACCCGACCCGATATAAAACGCGATTTGGCAGAAGAAGCGCGCGAATGGGAGGAACACCAGAATAGGCGGGCTAACACCAGAATAGGTGGTCGGCGAACATCTAGACTCGTCGTCTTGTTGAAGCTGCAGGACATGAAGCCAAAAGGAACGTCGTCGAAGCCAGAGAAGAGGAACGGCATCGAAGACGTGGCACAGTGCGGACTGCGAAGCTAGACTAGGGTTAGGAGTAGGACTTCAAACCGAGCGTTAGCAGACGGCAAGGCCGCAAGACGGTGGGAGAGGTGGATGACGAGGTTCATTTACTGCGGGACTGTGGGAGTTAGGGTTGGGTAAGTTACGGGTTATTCTTGGGTTTTTGAGTCAACCTGAACCCAACCCGATTTTTAAAAAGGTCGATTTATTGAACCCGAATACGATCCGTTTAACAAACGGGTTGAACCCTAATCTAAAATTTTAGGATCAAATTTTTTGGTCTTGCCAAATAATGACAGCCCTAATTTCTTTTCTCACTTGAATAAAGGACATATAATTGATCATATTGCAAGTTGCAACCTCCCATTATTACATATAGAGAGAAATCGTCAACCTTATTCTCGCATTATGTTCTCATCTTCTCCAGCTTTGGAAAAAGACTGAAGAACTGAAGGTTCTTGATACCGTGTGGTTCTTGAAGGAACCGAAAAGGAAGAAGATAGAGGACAAACTGAGCAAAAGTAATTAGTATTTCATATGTCCACAGGATACAAGGATAGTCTATATATAGACTTGCTGGTGTAGTATTACAGGTACAGATAATATTACACTTATGCCATAAAGTAATTATAACGTATTAATCTTTGTCCTCTAACATCTCCCGTCAAACTAATGGGTCTTGAATGACACTTAGTTTGAGGCGAAGAAGTTGGAACCGTGGTGTTGATAGTGGCTTAGTTAGTATGTCGGCGATTTGATCCACCGTGCTTATAGGTAGAAGCTGTAAGTTATGACTGGTTATCTGATCATGAACGAATTGTTAGTCAATCTCTATATGTTTTGTTCGTGCGTGAAAGACAAGGTTGTTGGCGAGAGCTATTGCCGATGTATTATCACAAAAAAGATCTATGGGTTGATTTTTCATAGTGCCGAAGTCAGCAAGAATTCGTGTAAGCCAGATGATGTCAGCTGTGAGTGCTGCTAGGGATCGGTACTCAGATTATGTTGAGGAGCGCGCCATTATATGTTGTTTCTTGACTGTCCATGAGATAAGTATTGTGCCCAAGAAGAAGCATTAGCCAGATGTAGATTTTCGGGAAATGGAATCGCCTGCCCAATCCGCATCTGAAAAAAGATTGAAGAACGAGATTACTTTTTGTAATAGGTAAACCATAGTTGATTGTACCTTTTATATATTGAAGCAGTAGCTTGAGTAGATAGGTATGTTGCGGACTAGGATCATGCATGTGCTGAGAGAGAAAGTTTACGCTGAATGCTATGTTCGGACGAGTTAAAGTCAAATATTGTAATGCGTCGGTGAGCTTTCGATAAGTTACAGGATCAAAAATCACCGCGTTTGGGGAAAATACCGAAGGCAGCTTGGTAGTCGTTGGCTTGGATAAGGGATTGCAGTTTAACATATTGGCTTGTTGAAGTATAGAAGCCGCATAGTGTGCTTGGGAGAGGAAATAATGAGACATCTGCTTCTTAATGTGTATGCCGAGGAACGCATTAGCCTCCCCAAGATGTTTCATACTGAATTTCACATTTAACTGATCAAGTAGCTTTTGGATGGCATCCGGATTGTCCCCCATGAGTAAGATGTCATCAACATAAACTAAAAGATATATGTTGACAGATTTCTCTTTTAAAATCAGCAGCGACGGGTCGGATTTGCTATGCTCAAAGCCAAGCGACAGCAGATATGTTGTAAAAGTCGTGTACCACTGTCTTGGAGCTTGCTGGAGACCATAAATTGCTTTATTCAGCCGGCACACGTGGTTCAGATTGGTGGAGTCATCGAAGCCCTTCAGTTGAGCCATGTAGACTGTTTCCTGCAGCGTGCCATGTATGAACGCGTTTGCTACATCGAGTTGTTGAACGGACCAGTTATGGTGTAAGGCTATGGTTAGGAGAATCCGAATAGTATGTAGTTTCGCAACGGGACTGAACGTCTCATTATAATCTACCCCGTGTTCTTGATGATTTTTTAGGGCCACGAGAAGAGATTTGTATCGAGCGATCGAGCCGTCAGAGTAATATTTTGTGCAAAACGTCCATTTACACCCCAAGATTGATGCATCAGTTAGAGGTTCGACTAGTATCCAGGTTCCTTATTTTTGTAATGCAAAGAATTCTGTTGCCATAGCTTTCATCCAGTTAATGTTTTTGAATGCTTCCGTGTAGCTGGTAAGATCCTTATCTTGTTGAGATAGAGAGGTGAGATGAAATAGATTTAATCTTACTTTTGGTTTGAGCGATCCAGTCTGTCATCTGGTGATCATAGGATGGCAAGGTTCTATAGATGGATTTCTGGAGGACGCAGCAGCGGCTGGTAGTTGCGGGAATTCACCTGCGTTTGAATGCGGAGAGTCTGGTGCTACCTGTTCGACAGATGGTCTTATGTTGGAGCGAATAGTAGGAGCTTCAGGGACTTGGAGATTTGAGGAAGAGTAAGTGGATATGGGTGTAAGCATAAATGGATTGGATTGATCAACAGACAGTGACGTGGAATTCGGGAATTTTAATTGGGAGAATGGAAAAATACGTTCTTCAAATGTGGTGTGCCGAGACATGAAAATTTTATTTCAAGCTATGTTAAGGCATTTGTATCACTTGTAGTTTTCGGAGTAGCCTAGAAACTCACATGAGTGTGCTTTCGGTTGGAGTTTATGTCTAAGAGGGTTTGGGATGAAAGGATAGCACGCACAATCGAAAGTGCGAAGATAAGTGTAATCCGGTTTTTGATTGTATAGAAGTTCAAAAGGAGACTTATTGTTTGTTGTAGGTGATGGCAGCCGGTTAATCAGGTAGGCAGATGTGAGAGTAGCATCTGGCCAGAATTTGGAGGGAACATCCGTGGTGAACAGCAGAGATCTAGTCGTTTCAAGTATATGCCTATGCTTTCTTTCAGCTAGGCCATTCTGTTCTGGCGTATACGGACACGAGATCTGATGTAGAATGCCATTGTCGGTGAGAAACTTGGCGAGCTGGTGGTTCGTGTATTCCGTGCCTCCATCTGTGCGAAGGCATTTAAGTTGAAGCGAGGTAAGTTTCTCCACATAATTTTTAAAATTAATGAAAATATAAGGTACCTCTGATTTATGTTTCATTGGAAAGAGCCAAACAAATCTCGTGAAATCATCTACAAACAGAACATAAAATTTGTAACCTTGACTAGACTCAACCGGAGCTGGGCCCAGATGTATGAATGGATAAGCTGGAGCGAAATGCATCGCCTATTTGATGATTTTTCAAAAGGCAGCTTATGGCCTTTAGCAAGATTACAAGAATGACAAGAACCAAAATTAGAATTTATATGAATGTTACTGTTACATTTTGAAATGAGATCAAGAATTCTAGAATGAGGGTGACCCAAGCGGTTATGCCAGGAGATGGAGCACTTCTTAGCCGCCGTAAGAGCTGATGTGCTGGAGGAAGATATTTGCGTCTGAAGCGGGTACAATCCATCAAGGCAGGGTCCTTTGAGTAGAACTTGCTGCGTCTGAATATCCTTAAAAACAAACCCATTAGGCTCAAAGATAATAGATATGTTATTATCTTTGGTTAATTTGGAGATGGATAGCAAATTATATTTGAGATCAGGGATGTGCAGAATCTGTTTAAGATTAAACTTACGAAGTTTTGTATGTAACAAACCTGAATCGGAGTGGGCTATTTGAATCGAGCGCCCATCTCTGATTGTGACGTTTTCCGAGCCTTGATATGGGTTTGCGAGTGACAGATTTTCCAATGAGTTCGTAAGATGGGATGACGCTCCGGAGTCGAGAAACCAGTTGGTTGTAGACTGATCTTGCGTAGCTGCCAGTGCTTTATTGCCGAAATTTGGAACGTAATGCTCAATGAGTCTATGCCAACAGTTCACCGCTGAGTGTCCCTTTTTGTAGCAGATCTAGCAAGTGGTAGCTAGATCTGCCGAGGAGCGTGTAGAGCTTGGGTTGTTGCGGTAGGATCGTCCTCGTTGCCTCCGGCCACGCCCTCTTTGAGAGTATAGTGCAAGATTCGGGTCAGCCGGTAGAGTGCTTCTTATAGCATCGGCGGCGATGTTGACTTCCTCGCTTAGCAACAGAGGGTAGAGATTATCTAGACTTATGGGAGTAAGCATTGTGCGGATTGCGGTTTTGAATATATGTTGCACGTAAACCATTCAAGATATAAAGAATTATATCTTCGGTGTCGACGAAGGATCCGACAGCTGCTATTTGATCAACGAGCGACTTGATTTCCGTAAGGTATTGTGTCATCGTGGAGGTTTTCATGGAGATATTGTGGGGTTCATTTTTGAGTTGTATTACTTTGGATCGATTGGTGGACTGGAAGTGAGTTTCAAGTGTTGTCCAAATGTTGGATGTGGAATCTAGGTGAATAATGTATGGTAGAACAGATTGCGAAATGGTAGAACACACGGCTGACGCAAGATTCTGATTAATAAGAATCCATTGCGTGTATTTAGGATTCGGAACCAGAGAAGCATCAGATTTTCTAATTTGTTTGTCAGGAGGAGAAGATAAGGGATCAAGAAATTTCTCAAACCCATTTGCACGAAAGAGTTTCATGATCTGAGATCGCCATAAAGAATAGTTTTCTGTTGACAGCTGCGTTGGTACGATGTTCTTCAGGTTTCCCACGACGAACTTCAACGACGATGGAATGGCTGTCTCTCCGGAATTCTCTGTGTCCGAGTCTTCTTCGAGTTGAGTTGTTGTTGAGTTTTCCATCTTGCACCGCTTCTGATCATGCACCCCCGCTCTGATACCATGAAGAACTGAAGGTTCTTGATACCGAGTGGTTCTTGAAGGAACCGAAAAGGAAGAAGAAAGAGGACAAACTGAGTAAAAGTAATTAGTATTTCATATGTCCACATGATACAAGGATAGTCTATATATATAGACTTATATAGACTTGCTAGTGTAGTACTACAGGTACAAATAATATTACACTTATGCCATAAATTAATTATAACATATTAATCTTTGTCCTCTAACAAAGACGAATTCGACGAATTCACATCAGCACCATAGCTATATACATAGACAGAGAGCTCACTATTCTACATTAGGTGATGACGATATAGTGCCTGCTGCTTCTCTCTCAATAATTTCAAATGCCTATATATCAAGCTGTATAATATTTGACAATAACTTCTATGCGAAGTTTGATAAGCAAGAATTATTTTTTATTAAAAGATAGCTTTAAATTATTTTTTAATAAAAAAGTATATATATTATATGAATGGGTGTAATTTTTTTATTGAATATATATGAACACATGCATGCATGTTGCGGTGACAGAATGGGCCAAGCAACAAGACATGAGATGGTAAGAAAATAAGCTTTCATAAAATAGATTCGAAATGGGCTCACTATTATATATATAATTGTTGTAGTCTTGTAGAATTATATAAAGTGATATACAGGGTTCTTTTTCTGTATATGGGTTCAAAATATTCTGAGAATAAATATTGGAAGATCAATCTGATCGATCATATAAGTATCGAATCATTTTTTTTCAGAAATACTAGATATCTAAGTTGTACAAGTAAATAGATCTATTCATTGATAAGAAAAAGTAAAAATGTGAATCGTGATTGGATTGATGAGAAAATAGAATTTTGGGCCGCAAAGCTTTTGACAAAAATTAAACAGGCATAGAAAAAAATTTAGGAGACTTAAAAAATTTATATGTGAAAAATCTGAGTAGGATAAAAATCAAGGGGAATATTTAAAGTAAAATAGTCATATATTTTTTATAGGGATTATAAAAGTATAATGCCCATCAACAGACAATTAACAATGATGTTTGAAAATGATGATAATGATTACTAATGGTGGTCGTCGGCAATAACAGCTGGATAATATTAGAGAATTATGTAGTTCCCTTAGCCCTTCTATCTCCTTTTATGTAGAGAATGAAATACTATTAAAAGCTTTATGAGAAGAGGATTTTGATAAATTTGGCAAGAATCCAAAACACTTCGTACATTGTATTATCCTTATTGTTTCTCTTGATTGTAGTTCATTTATTAAACATTGAATGCATGATCTTGGATTTGTTGGATTTTCTCATTAAGCTGCTCGATTTGAATATAATCATGTCAGAATTGAAGGTTGCTTGATCTCTCAATAATATATGGAAGTTTACAAATATGTTACATGTACTTGATTTGAGCTCATTTGAAGACAAATTGGATCATTTGTAGCATTTATTGGCTCGTCTTGTTGATTCATTCAATTTAACTTTTTTTTTTAATTTTTTTTACATTCAATTTAACTATAAATTTGAGGAAATCGGGATTCAGATGATCCTTCCTTTTATTCTAGAATATTTTAATAAAATATTATCAGAGGATTTGCACAAATCAAGTAAGTTTTTTAAAGACTTATCAATAATATTCTTATTTTTCTCATAATTTAATTTTTATTAATCTAAGAAATATTTCTCTTTAAACCTATTTTGATTCATAGAGATTAAAAAATAATTTTATTTTGCATCAACTTGATTCTTTGAAGAATTTTCTCACCTAAAATTAATTTTAATTATAACTTTACAAGAAATTAAAATTTTTATTTGCAAA